CACACACACACACACACACACACACACACACACACACACACACACACTCCCCGCCGCCCTGTCGAAGCCCAACGGGGCTGGGGAAAACGGGACCCCTTCGCGCTCGAGCTCGGGACGCCTGAGGGTTCCTTTATCCAGCCGCGGAGCCCCAAAAGACCCCAGCCGCAAACAAGTCGGGCTAGTCAGCTTCCCTCGCGAGTTCGCGCCCCCCCACCTCCCCCCCACCAACTCACCAGCGCTGGTGACGCTCGCTTTCGACGCTTCTTCTCAGCCGAGAGCAGCGCCTGAGCGCGGGACCGCAAGCCCTCCGCCGACAGGGAAGGGCCGAGGCGGAGGGCCGTCGAAGGTGCTCGCCTCGCGCGCTGCTGGGGCGGGGTTTTACCTGCCCGGGAGGGGAAACTTGCAAGGCTCTGGAGGAACAATAGGGGGCACTCACCCCGCCCCCACGCACCCCCGCCCCGTTGAGCTCGTCCCGGCTCCAGATTTGAACCGCCTTTTATAAGGTGTCTTGGGCTGGCAACGGCAACTTTGGGTCTCCGAAGAGCACGAAGTAGCGCGGCAGGGGCGGTCCGTGTCCCCTGAAAAACAAGTGGGGCGGAGGGGACAACCGCCAGCCGCGACCGCGTTTGAGCGAGAGAGGTCAGAGGCTCCGGATCTCCTCTTAGCCTGAGGCGTCTAGGATACATGAATCGGGTTAGGGCTCCTTACTTGGGTACCTTAGCTGTTCAGGAGGAGGCTCGAAAAGCCGAACCCAAAACGGCTTTAAACTCGGCAGCAGAAGCTATGAGAAAGAGGAAGAGGAAGGAAGTAGAAAGAGGGAGGGAGGGAGAAAGAAAAGGGTAAGTATTGGTAGTCCTGGACTTACATTTCTCTTAGTGACCGTTCAAAGTTACCTCCGTTGTAGCGTTCCCAGGGTCATGTGATTTATATTTAGATGCTTGATAACTGGTTCATATTTATGACAGGTTGCAATGTCCCAGGATTATGGGATCACCTTTTGCAACCTTCTGACAAGGCAAATTCAATGGGGAAGCCAGATTCCTTTTAACAGCTGTGTTACTAATTTAATAACTTTAGAGATTCACTTAACAAACGTGGCAAGGAAAGTCGTAAAACGGGGCAAAACTCATTTAACAAATTTCTGACTTAAGCACATAATTTTGGGCTCAATTGTGGCAGGAAGTTGAAGACTACCTGTAAGTAAGAAGGGTAGGATAGAGTAAGTAGGAAGGAAAGAAGGGAGGGTAGGAGGAAGGTTGCCATTGCAAGATAACGGAAGAGATAATAACAAGATTCAGACTTACTCAGAAGATGGTAATTCCTTCAATTCTGTGAAGCTTTCCCTCCAGTAGCTTCTGCCAAAGCTTAAAACGATTTGGCAGAAATAGATCTAGTTATAAGTTGTATCCCATCCTTTTCCAGAGAAATGTACTATTAGTGGCTTAGATCACTTAATCTGCTCCATTCTCAATTTGTCTGCTCTCATTTAACATGTTTTTCTGGAGTTTTTTCCCCCCATTTTCTAATTTGCCATTACCTGCAACTGAAGAATGTTGATAATAAGGTAGCAATATCAGTATTTTGTAAGACGTGAAATAGAGGGAAGACTCTTAATACAGCTCTTCAGTGAGAATGCAGGCAATATATATTTTATGCATTTGTTTACATAATAGAAAAAAAATCATCTTGGGGAAAACTGGCACATTCATTTTAAACGTGCAGTATGTGTACTGGTGCACAGAAGTCATGTAGGAAAGAAAAGTTAAAAATTGTTGTTTTAGCTATCAAAAATAAAGGCATATTTTAGCAGATGTATATAGTTTATAATTGTTCATAAATTTAGTTATAGGATTTTCCCCAAAGGATGAATCCCAGAACACTTGGATTAAATTGTCAACAGCCTGCCACCTAGTGGAAATGAAACTGTAGTAGAAATTATATAGAACTGCAGTAGAAATTATATGACACAAGCAGACTAATAAATGTTGAACCGGAGCTAGGAATGATGCTCTAAAGCTCCTGCTCTTTTTTTAAAGTAAAATTCATATAGAAAGTGCCTCTGCTTGAATTTTGGAGAGTGGTATATTTAATGTGAAAGACTTGGGTAGGCTTCAATATAAAAGTTGATCTAGTGGCTAAAAAACCAGGGCAGAAAATGGGAGAGTTCTAGTCTCACTTTAGGCATGAAAGCTGGCTGGATGACTTTGGGCCAATCACCTTCATCCCAATCTACTACACAGGGTGGCTTCTGTTGTGGGAAAACAGGAGGATATATTATGTGCATTCACCACCTTGAGTTATTTATAAACATAATAAAGGTCAGATTTTTTTAAAAAAAAATCTATTTAAAAATGGTCTCATACTTAACAGAAATCGAATTGGAGAAGTTCTAGACAAGCCAGTATTCAGAGTCGTTTGCTTCTAAACTTCACTCTAACATCCAAATCCCCAATCTTTATTCATATTCAGTTAACAAGATTTTTGCTCAGCTAATGTGAAAAAAAAAACTTACATAAAACTGGCTTGTCAAGGTTATGGCACTTGAGATATCAGTGTGTATAGTCAAGAATAAGCAGTGTAAAAATATTTAATGCATCTGCTTAGCTGTTCTATTATTTTGTCAAACTAAAAGATTTCCACAGAAGACACCAAGAATACAGGCAAGGCAAAAAATACCAAAATCATCACTGCTGTTAAACACAGGCCACAAAAGAGTTTACTTCAATTTTATTTCTACTTAAACAGGTTTTGGATGATACATCATGCAGTTTGCCAGTGTATCCATACAGTTTGATAGATAGTATTTTAGAACCAAGATCCAAAGACTTAACTATAGAGAAGGAAGGTGAGATTTAGGTTTGCTGTTATAGAGCGTAATTCATTACAGCATCTTTTATGTAATAGTGGAAATTTCTCCAGAGATTGTAACCATCAGAAAAAGGACCCACATTTCATTTTTCCCTAAAACAAGCTATTGTACAGATATATAGGTCCCAGAGAATACACATCTGGAATACACACTACACAAGTTACAAACTAGACATGTATACTTCTACAGAACGCCCCAATCCCTATTCCTTCACATCGTCCACTGTTAAAAAGTTTTAAAAATGACAGACACAATTATTTAGGTGTAAAACACAATCTTAGAAATAGTTTTGTATGGGTGCCTAAAAAGACAATTATCTTTTGTGTTCTTGGTTCAAAAAGGCATTATAGGAAACCATAACAGATTGCTTTCCATTAAGGCATCATCCCACAATTCTGCCATGAACAGATTCATTATTTTGAAAACATGTTCATATGCTTGCCTCAGACTATGAAGGCTTAGGGGCCAGTTTATCACCAGTAAGCTACAACTTATACTGCACAACCTGTTTTTTCAACACAGCCTATGATGAGGGTAGAGAGAACCAGAGAACCCTCAAAAACTGCAGTAATACTTTGTGGAATAAACCTAATAAACAAGATATATATTTGCTATATGAAAGATAAGCTTTGGGACTGTTGTTTTTTAAAGAAAGGAAGTACTTTCATTTATAAATGAAGTAACAAAACGTGTGCTCTTTTTCATTCATTGACTATGGGAACAGATTTTTAAAAGGCAGCTTTTAGATCTTAGTTCAGTTTACATTACTTCAAGCTAATTAATTCAGAATAATCCATTCTTAACTTAATTCAGCAGAATGTAATTTTAGCAAGCGTGATCAGAATCTTTCCATTGTCTCAGTGGCAAAAGGTTAAATTAAAAAGTTAGCCCAAGGATATACATAAATAAAAATGATGACAATAAAGAATGATTGAAATTAGAAGCAAGCTTCACGTTCAGTCAGAAAATTCTATAAGTATGCAACATTGTTTTTGAGTTTTCAAGAATTAAACTCAAAATCTTCCTATCATTTAAAGTCAAATTGTAACAATAGAAGAAGCAAAGGGAAAAAGGACTTTTTAAAAAGTAAATCAAATCTCTGACATTTTGGAAGCAATACAAACATACTGTAAAATTAGTATCAAAAACTTAAAAGAATGGCTTAGAAATATCACAGAAAACAATTCTAGCAGCAGTGAGTCAGTAACATAATAAAAGTGGCTCATTTTCAAAATAAATCCCTAAGCATTGCAATATACTGTGTCTTTGTGTCCCATTTCAAAGGACAATCTGCCATCTTTGATCCAAGGTAGAGAAATTAGTTCTGAGGCCTCAGTCAAGGAGAGACTGAAGTTAGAAGAACTGACTGGCTGATCAGTTACTAACAATTCTGGGGCATCAAAGCTAACTTTTCTTTACATCCTAATATAAAATCCTACTGTATTAACCTCAAAGTTTTTAATTTCAAAAGTGCTTAATGTCAAACCACGGTATCTAGTTCTCATTCCTATCAGTGGGGATTAATTAGATATAGGGCTTGCATTCACAGTATCAAAACATCTTAAACAATATTATTTCAATGCACAAAAGGGGGTAATTTAAAATTATATTTTAAAACAAAACCTCATTAACTGCATTCTAAGAGCTCATCTGCCTATGAAAATAGCTATAGTGAGATTGCTTGAAACATCCTCCATGATGCACATTCTAGTTGGAAAAATTAGAATATATCCTATTAGAACGTCCTAGCTGAATTTTCCCCAAATATTGTTTGGTGGGTTTTTTTTACTAACTGGGAGCTTTATGTATATATGCATGTAAACTCCGTATGTGTGTGTATAACTTGGTGTTCCAACAATTTACAACAAAAAAGATGGCCTCATTAAGCCCAGAAAGAGGATTGAATATGGCAAATTCACACTTCAAGTGGTGGACAGTGTATATATATGTGTAACAATATTTAAAAGCACATTTACAAAAAAAATAACAAAATAAATGCAAAATAAGATCTTTCATTAAACACATCAACAAAAGTTTCTCCCTTCCCTCACAATTAGTGCAATCCTTAATAAATTAAATAAGATCCAACAATCTGCTACAGTCGAGAGTGCCTAACCTACGTTGTGATAAAATATCTGATAACCATCTTTGTAAAGGCTTTATAGCAGAATAGCTTTTTACGTAAAAGTATTCCCTCCCCCCCAAAATAAATTAGCAGCCCCCAATTTACTATTAATTTTGTGAAAGCTACAGCGACAAAATGGAATGAATGTAAATTGAAATCCAGTCATTTTGAACCTTACAGTCTTTTGAGTTAATGTATGTTTTCAACGTATACATGAAACATATGCAAAACAAATATAACTGACACATTAAACTGCAGGTGTAACATTGTTTATCTACCTGTTCTCTGGTTATCCATGTCTTCCACTTAAAATACAATTTAATAC